ATCTCCTGCCTGTACAGGAAAATGCCCGCACTGCGCAGAGAAGCCTTCGGACATCTTCCACATGGTGTGGGCATGCCAGTCAACCCCTTGCCTCACCCCAAAACCAAATCGTACCTGGGAGAACTGGGAGTTTTCCAACCCTGCTCAGTTTTCCCAACCTGACGAGCCAGAAGGCCCCAATTAACCGAGCCCGAGTCACTTTGGACGCCAATGGTCTTCTGTAATGAGGAGCCAACCTAGTGTTTGTGAGGGGTGGCTCGCACTGGGCCACCACCCACATACTCCCTGTATATAGTTATAATAAAGTTTTTTCTCTCTCTCTCTCTACATTTCACAGCTTAATTTTTTCAGTAAATTCTTGGAAAACAACTGATTTCTCTTCAAATAGTGACCATCCTCCTGTGTACTTTGAAATCGCATGTCCTATAAGATCTCTCAAAAGAATAGAGAAAACATTGGTCAATTAATGAACATCTAAAGTCTGCTTGCGTTGTAATTTTAGGGAGTTGTCTAGCGGTCAAAATGAAGACCCTGGTAAAAATTGTGGGGGTGCTGACAGCCCCTATAAGTTGTTTGCGCCGCGTGGTGCATGTGTCTTGCACCAAAGCCGTATTTCGGGGGTGACAACTATTGAGAGATAGGTGGCGTAGTGTTCGCAAGCGGTGATCACCACTATCATCATCGTGGTTGGTAGAGCGGTAGCGCTGGCGGTGACCTCTGGCGGAAGGCAAGCCTTGGTGGCGAGCGAGAGAGTTGAGCGAGTCTTTTTTTCTTTTTTCGTTTTTTGGCATGAGGCGGTAGCCCAGACGGTTGCCTCCAGCGGTGTGTCTGCCGTGAACGGCATCGCGGGTCGTCTGCGGTGGGCCCACGTAGTGGGTCAGGCGTTAGCGACACCGCCTTGTTTGTCATGTTGTTGAGTGTTTAATAGTGTGTAAGGATGTCTTAGCATGTTAATCACAATATTGTCGTTCAAAAGTAGTTAAATAAATATGTGTTGTTTTGGTTCGTTCTGTCAGCTGTGTCCGTGCACACCAAGAGTGTAGCGGTGGCGCTCGCTTCTTCGAGACCCCACACAATGTCTGTTCTGCTTTAAAATCTCCAAGAACACTTCAGAATTTATAATTGCTTCGGTGTCAACCATAAATCCCTCACGTAGCAGATGGTGGAATACTGAGTGCACACGAGACTATAGAAGAATAATAGCAGCATAAAAAAGACATGTGCAATCAGAGTCCACAAAATTGGAAGGATTATCAGTTCATTGCGGCAACATTTAAACACACTGTATCACAGCGAAAGAGAAATGTGATCAAGAACATTTCGAGTACCTGTCTAAATCGAATTACAAAGGTGTTTTATTCAATTTCCTGTATGGTTGAAAGAGGATCCCTATATCAGGAAACGTTGACTCAGTAGTTCATACCTCACAAAAACTACAAGAATCATTAAATCAATTGGCTGAAGGATTAAAAAACAGGTTCTCAAGGCCTCTTCCCAATTTTGTTGATGCACCAGCCATCTATGACTACACAGAATTATCGACTTCCGAATTAAATCAGGCTATGGAAAGATTGCCAAATGCAGCACCAGGCCCCGATAGAATGACAAATCTAATGCTAAAAATACTACACCAGGAATATTCAAATGAACTTTTAGGTCTCGTAAATTATTCCCTTACAAGAGCATGGATACCTTATGAATGAAAGATTGCGAAAATTATATCATTGCTTAAGAAACAAGGGGCAGGCTATAATCTAGACAACATACGATCGATAGCTTTAACATTTAATGTAAGAAAACTTATTAAAAGGGTACTTCATGGCCATATAAGTAGGTTTATTAATGAAAAACAACTGCTGCGCTTTTCTGGTTTTAGATCTGGATATTCCATACGGCATGCACATGTAGATCTGGAAAGTAGTATATTCACATTGTCCGTCACAAAAAGCAGTATGTGGCTTTAGTAACATTAGACATATGTAAAGCATACGATAGTGTAGAGCAGTGGTTCTCAAATGGGGGTCCACGAAGCCACTTCTATGATCCGTGAAAGCCTCAACCGCTTTTTGTTTTTACACTTTTTGGAGTTTAGTTCGGCCGTGACTCCAAGTAAATACCGAAACAGGTTGAATGTGCCTGCAGATGTGCAACTCTGTTTAAGCGTGACTGTGCCACGTATTGATGAACTGTCCAAAATGAAATGATATGGCACGCTTGTTTGATATATTAGGTAGCAGTAAAAGGCACCTGTTGGACGCTCCAGTTGCATTAATTTACTTACGTACCTCCCCCCTCTTTCCCCTTCACTGCAAGGTGTCCCCCATCCTTTCCACCAGTGGTCCCCGACACATCCATGGCTGAGAACCACTGGTGTAGAATATCCTGTCTTCATTAACCAGTTATGGAGTCATGGCTTCCCACCTTATATCTTAGCATGGGTGATAGAATTTTTAATTGGAAGGGAATTATATTGTTTTAAAGCCAGTTTTTCTTCTTGTACGCACAAGCAAACTCGAGATGTGCCTCAGGGGTAAGTACTTTTTCCCGTATTATTCGACATAGTGCTTAGTACCATCCCCGCTCAGTCAGATGTGAAAACCCATGTTTATGCTGACGACACTGCTTTCTTTGCAATGGCAAATGATATCCAGTGTCTTTACAATATCTTGCAAACATATCTAAATGAACTCGTACATTGGCTGGATGATTTGATGTTGAACCTGAATACCAATAAATGCACTATTTTTGTTTTTCCTGTTCAAGATCATGTACAGATATCTATTAATTATAGGCTACAAAATATCCCGTAAATATAATCATTCAAATACCTTGGAATTATGTATAATGAAAATCTCAACTGGCACCCTCACACTGAATACATTGCGACAAAAGGAGTATGTGCAATGGGCGTATTGCGGATGTTGAGCAGCTGTAGATCTGGGATGAGAAGGAAGGCACTTTTGATGATATATAAAATGTATGTCCAACCTGTGTTAAGAGTTTGGCTGCGTTCTTTTTTCTGGTGCGCCAGCCTACAAGTTTCAGTCGCAGGTTTTACGGCTCTGCTGAGGATAGACTTCCAAAGTATACTGCAAATGCAGTGTTATACCTTGAAGCACGAATGCCACCTCTTTCATGTCGCTTTAACATTCTTACTATGCAGACTTTTTTACAATTATATGAAGCAATCTTTAACCCTGATCAAATTATTTTTATTTTCAATCCTGGCTTATTTTTCTTCGTGCATTGGCCCAGATTTCACAAACCGCAAATAGTATTTGTTCAATCGTTACTTGAGCCTCTAAATGTACAAGTTCGTGATCTGCTTCCTTTAACTGTAGAACAAAGTTCTTCAGAAATTGTTTACCATGATATCTTCCCAACTCACGCTAAGCTAGTACCTACCGGCATTTTAAATAGTTTACTGCAGGAAAATTTAAGTACTCTGCCAACGAATGTCATATTGTAACAGATGCATCGTAATCAGATGAAAAATCAGGCGTCGGAATATATTGCTCTGTACTTGATTGGTCATTTTCACTGCGCTTACCCAATTTTCTTCCCATTTTGCTGGCTGAATTTATGGCAATAATGTTAGCTTTAGCGCATGGTAAATACTTTGATTCCAGTCGTAGCAATCACAACTGATTCATTATCTGTGTGCTCTTCTCTGTCCCCATCCGGTTGCTCACCCATACTGAAACTTTCTAAATCCTTGGTTCCCTGTCATCTCCGTTCATTTCCATTCATTTAATCTGGGCACAAGGGCACAAAGCTTTGTTGTTAAACAAAATGGCTGATTCTCTTGCGAACGCATTGCTTTCGGCACCAATCATTCTTATTTTCTCACCTACAGTACACATTACGGTGGTGCAATTTCGCATGCTTATTATCAGGCAAAATTTATCATACCCTGCACTGATGGCTTCTCTGGAGTAAAACCATTCATTATTTCCCTGGCACCGCAAACTGTCTACTTCAAGGATGATGGAAGTTGTGATCCCGAAATTTCTTTGCCACATTACGTTCATCAATTTTTACTTGCATAGATCAGGTTTATTGAATTCTCCTATGTGCATTTACTGTAATCAAGAGGAAACGATTAGTCATTTTTTATTACCTTGTTGCCCTTTCTATTTATTCAGGAAACGCATACTAGCACCACCTCTTCAAAGACTGGGCTTACAATTATCGGAACCAGCTCTTCTTTCTTTTGGAGCCTCTACAGTGGGGTACAGCTACAAGGATGTTTTGTTCGCCGTTCAGGAATACATCACTGCAACTGAACGATTTTCTTGCTAAATTGTGGGCTCACTACATTTTTTTTTTTTTTTCAAATTCGCAATTAGCCTTCCTATGAATTAAACAATGCAGAAAGTATCGGGAGAATTCACCGTATAATCGGCCAATCCCCTCCATTGGATACGGGCCATGCTACTTTTTTTCAACAACAAACAACAACAGCCACTAGCAGCGGTCGAGGCGTAGAGGAATAAACGAGGCTCCCGGTCTGGCTCCGCGTCTTCCCTGCGGGGTTCTGGGCCGAGCAGCCGCGAAACCCCCTACATTTGCCTCAACAGTATCCATAGCAAAAAAAAAAAAAAAAAAGGCCATATTCTGGGACGGAAAAGTTCACATTCCTGGCATCTTGAAGTAAAAAACCTCGCAATATAGACTGCACAATAAAAGCTGTCAGGCACAATGGTCTAATTACTAAAGCTGCTGTTCTCGCTGCAGCAACGTCGTCGTTCACCGAACCACGCTCTGAGTGATTGATATGTGGGGTTTAAATATGATTAAGAAAGATGCCGTAGTGGAGGGCCCCGGAAACTTCGACCACCCGGAATCGTGCACCAAAATCTCAGCTGCCTCAATCGAAAAAGCAGTCGCCGCAGCCGGGATTCGATCCCGCAACCTGCCGGTCAGCAGCCGAGTGCCTTGGCCACTAGACCACAGCGGCGGAGCCCGTTGTGAATGAAAGCCGATATTGGGGAACTCACTTTTTCGTTTTTTCGCCGGTCCTGACGCCCAAGAATCTGCGGTCGAGTCGTCGTCTCTCATCCAATGTATGTCAAGACGGGACGCGCCCACGTTTTGTTCGCACCGCGCAGCCTCGTGTGCGCCTAGCCGTCGAGGTGCGGCGACTTTTCTTCGAGAAGACATTTTTCCAGCAATTCTTTTGCCAGCGCGTCCGGATCACACGGGACCGTGCAGTTAAATCAGTTAAAAACAGCCACACAGCCACAGAACACTTCGACAGCGGGGCACCTCATACCAGACCAGGATGCGTTGGTATAACCAGTAAAACACAACAAACTTTGCGCCCGCAACAAATCAATTTAGCGAGGACAAGGGTCATAATTACCCAAACACCGCGATTGCGCCGGTTGCCATCATAGCTCAGTGGTTAGAGCACTGGTCTTGTAAACCAGGGGTCGTGAGTTCAATCCTCACTGGTGGCTAATTAATTATTCTTTTTTTATTTAATTTTTTAATCGGCAAATAAAATTTCCACACACACAAAAGAACAAACATCCCATGTCGTTGACCTTCCTCTGACTACGGTGAGAGTAGAATCCGTGTTCTGTGTTATACTTACTAGTGTGCCGACCACGGCCATCGCGAAGGCGTAGAGTAACGATGACGATAGTTATAGCGCGAGAACAAAACGACGACACAGAGACAAGAAGGACACGAAAGACACGAGCGCTAACTTCCAACTAACGTTTCAAGTTGGAAGTTAGCGCTCGTGTCTTTCGTGTCCTTCTTGTTTCAAGTTGGAAGTTAGCGCTCGTGTCTTTCGTGTCCTTCTTGTCTCAGTGTCGTCGTTTTGTTCTCGCGCTATAACTATCGTCATGCCATACCAACTAGCCCAAGCTGCCACACTTCGTAGAGTAGGAAGGAAGGAAGGAAGTATGTTTATTTACAGAAAGGCAGAGAGGTCGGCCTGAGCGATAGTTTGCTCTAACCTGCTACTCTACACTGGGGGAAGGGAAAGGGGAAAAGAAAGATTAATGGATGACGATGGTGAGATAGAGAGGTGAGTATGTAGTGTTCTTTCTAGCTGAGACACATTTTAGAGCCGCGCACATAGTCCTTCGTAGAGTAACATACTATGTTACTCTATGGCGAAGGCACGGAGAATGCAAGGAGGTTCTATAGACCCTCTGGAGTGGCAGTCCCGGCCGCCGCCAACAGGAGCAAGCAATGGCGAAATTCTTTTACCGTGCATGGTCCGAGCAGAGTGTTTCGCAACAAGCGAGCGTCTCAAATCGACCCCTTTGTTAGTGGTTATAGACCAAGCAGGATTAAAAAAAATTGCTGGAGTGGAAGCTCCCGCAATGCCTTTGCCAGCAGACGTGAAGTCAGTTTTTGCCAGTGCCAAGATGGCGGAAACATGCTCTTTCCTGATAGTGCCCACTTAGAAATGAAGTGGCTTTGAGATGTTAGTGTAAATGCTACGTTAGTTCTATATTAAAAGATAGTTGTTCCCGACAAAATAGCACATAAAAACGAGTATGGGTGGCTGAACTTCCTTTCCTTCCTCCGTGGGAGCAAGTGAAACCGCTGGCGGCCATACTGCTAGAGGAAAAACAGGTCAGACCCGCCATAGACCGCAATGGAATAGGCGCGTTTCGCGCGTCGGTTTGCAGTTCTAAGCTAAAAAAATGAGATGGAAACCACTTTTAGATTACACCAACGAATAAACGCCTCTTCTTGTTTATTAAACAAATTATTTCATGCACCCATTGTCAGCTGCACGCTTTCAGATCAATCTGCTGCCGAGGGATGCTTCGCATATCGAGCTTGCTGGCGCACTATTGCGGTACAAAAGGGTTGTAGTATTTATCGGGTGTTTTAAATGTGCCTGCACATACTGAAGATCAAGGAGAACGTGACATTTGCTCACCTCTTTCATATATGTGCTTCTGTGTGTGTCGGGAGATTACCAGAGAAAAATATAAAAGGAAGTTGAAATAATTAAAGCTAATGTTAAAAAAGAGAGGTAAATAAGTAAACTGGGAGTCACCAGTAATTTTTCTAGAGTTATCAAATTCTAACCAATTTACAGGCGGAACCAAAACCGAAGCACCGATGTTGCGTGCAACCGCGACAAACTCTGGGAGACATACCAAAATGAACCGCTTATCACACACCTTTCCTTTCTCCGTGGCTTATAAGAACGATTGGCTACCCTAGATTGGCGTTAGTTATACCAACGCCTCCTCTAGAAAGATGCCTGAGGAATGGCTCGCGCTCTCAGCGGAGTTGGCCTGCATTCAGTTTTAAAAATGCTCCGCGTGGTGGCGCTCGCGAAAAACACTATTGTCACGGGGTCATGACGTGGCCGAAGACAGGAGACTTCGTGTTGGGATTTAACTGTTTATTTGGGCGAACCTGTGCCCGGTAAACGGAAAGTCCAATTACCGCAGCAGTCTCGCACAGATAGCAGTCTCGGACTGATTGCGGCGAACGGAGCGTCGGCCTTCGATCAACAACTGACAAGCGGTGAAGCGCGTCGGCATTTATACTCTTGCCGTCGAATGTTCTAGCGTTATCGCTGGCGGTGGCGTAGGTTCCAGAACAATCTGTACCGTTCGCACAGTGGGCGTGATCTTATAAAACTGATCTACTACAGTCCAGAACCTTCTCGAAAACTGCAGGCGCGGTTTGCGCTGAGAATCGTGTGGTGTTTTGGGACGATAACAAAAACTTGGGAAATGGAACGTGGCATTGCCCCCCTCTGAAAAAAGGCATCGTCCCGATGCTTTAACTAAAGATGAAAGTACAATAATAATGCAAGAAAGTACAATGAATAAATTACGATACAACAATAATACAAAAAAACACTAGTTCAGTTTGTTAACGCGCATGAAACGGCTTGAGACGCGCGACATGGACGACTTCAGGTCGCGATCGGCGTCGTTGAGAGTTCGTGATGCCGTCGGGGACAACCTCGTAATCAAGTGGGCCGAGACGTCGAACCACCCTGTACGGTCCGAAGTACCGTCGCAGAGGAGGAGGAGGTAAAACTTTATTAGACCAAGGGATTTGGGCACTTACGTCCCAGGGTCCCCGCACGACCCCACGGCGCTATGCGTTCATGAGTTCATGCAGTTCCATGACGTGGGCGGCCCGGTCAGTGGCGATTTTCTGCTTGGCCGGGTCCGTCGAGCGCAGCAAGGTCTCCCATTCCTCCCATGTGGTCAGTGGCTCCGGGCCCCGCGGGGGAGGGTCCGCCGGGCATTCCATGAGAATGTGGGTAAGGGTAGCGTGGGGGTGAGTGCATTGAGCACAGGACGGGGCGTACGCTCCCGGGTAAATGCGGGAAAGAAAATAGGGGGAGGGAAGGGTGCGGGTCTGAAGGCGACGCCATAATATTTGGTGAAAATTTTTGAGGGATCGGTGGGGTGGTGGGTATAGCTGGCGTTCGGCGCGATGTGACTGGGTCATCTCGTTGAACGATTGCATGCGCTCCCTGGAAGAGCCCGACTCCGATTCCGCCGCCGCCCGGTTGATGAGACCTCGGGCGTGGTCATTGGCGGCTTCGTTGCCGGGATTTCCAGAATGCGCAGGCACCCAGATCAGCTCCGCATGGCGGGCCGGGTTTTTGGTGGGCGAGCTGAGAATTCTGAAAGCGCTCTCGTGGACTCGTCCTCGCGCGAAATTTAGGATCGCGGTTTTCGAGTCGGAAAGGACGTACCGGGCATCAGTGTGTGCGAGGGCAAGCGCGATCGCCGCTTCTTCCGAGGATTCCGGGGTGGATGCAGGAGGAAGGTGGAGAGTTGCAATGGGTTGGAGTGTGCGATCAACGACTGCAACTGCCGCGTCGTCGCCCGTGCAAGCTGCATCCACCCATACGGCGTCCTCTTCAGAACCGTAGTATTTGTGGAGAGCTTTTGCACGGGCCTTGCGGCGGGCCGAATGGTAGGTAACGTGGGTGTTTCTTGGGAGAGGTTTAACTATTATCTGTGTGTGTATGGGTCGGGGGATTGGTAGAAGTGTGGGGTCGGCTGCTGGTATGTGAATATTGAGGGTGTTAAATATGTAGCGTCCGGTGAAAGTCTGAGCTAAACGAGCGTATTGCGCTCGTCTGTGGGCCTCAGTGAGTTCGTGTGTGGTGTCATGGAGCCCAAGCTGAAGAAGTTTAGTGGTCTGTGTGTTAGGGGGGAGGTGTAAGGCCACCTTGTAGGCTTTACGAAGCATAGCATCCAGGGTGGCTATTTCTTCTTGTCGAAGTCGGAGATACGGGATTGTATAAAGGAAGCGGCTCAGTATGAAGGCATGAATGAGACGACACAAATCGTGTTCCTTCATGCCATAGTGTTTTCCAGAAACTCTGCGGACGAGGTGCGAGAGCGCATCCATCACCCGCTGGAGTTTCCGGATAGTGAAAGTGTTACGGCCGTTATTTTGGATGTGAAGGCCCAAGATTCGGATTGTGTCGACCTCTGGGATAGGGCGCCCGTCCAGAGTAACGGTGATGGGGGCAGTGGGAAGAGTACGTGGTGAAGGGCGTATGAGAAGCAGCTCAGATTTTTGCGGGGAACAGGAGAGACCAATGCTTTGTGCGTGTTGTTGTGTAATGTTTGCGGCGGTTTGTAAGGTTTCCTCTATGTCGCCATCACTACCGTGGGTGGTCCACAGTGTGATGTCGTCTGCATAGAGGGTGTGGTGAAGGTGAGGGATATTGTGAAGAACGCGGGCTAAGGGAATGAGTGTGGCATTGAAGAGAAAAGGGGAAAGGACCGAACCTTGCGGAGTGCCTACACCACTGAGGGTATATGGAGGGGACGCATGGGGGCCCATATCAACCTCGGCCGTGCGTCCTGATAGGAAGGCTTGTATGTAGGCGTACATACGAACGCCCACATTGAGGGGGGAGAGAGCCGCCATGATCGCTCGGTGTTCTACTCAATCAAAGGCCTTGGTTAAGTCCAGGGCCAAGACGGCTTTAGTATGAGCGGGGATGAGAGGATCAAGAATGCCGTGCGTCAGTTGAAGCATGGCATCTTGGGCGGAGAGACACGGGCGGAAGCCCACCATGCTGTGCGGGTATAGGTTGTGGTCGTGCATGTGTTGAGTCAGTCTGTTTAAAGCAACGTGCTCGAGAAGCTTCCCGAGACACGATGTGAGTGAAATGGGGCGGAGGTTTGATATGGTAAGGGGTTTGTTAGGTTTAGGGATGAAAACAATCTTGGCATGGCGCCAGGATTGCGGCAAGGTGCCTTCCTTCCAGCATTTATTAAAGTAATCTGTAATCTGTGCAATCGATTGATCATCCAGATTACGGAGCATGGAGTTAGTTATCCCGTCTTTCCCCGGTGCAGAGCTTGTTCGGATGTTCTGGAGGGCCATACGGACCTCTTGCTCCGATATGTCGTTGT